TAGTTTAATGGTTTCTATTTTAATATCCTTTAAAATATCATTTATTTCTGTGATGCAAAGCTGAATTTCCATCAGCCAGTATAAAGTGTCACATGATCCTTAATAAATCATTCTAAAATGCTGATTTATTCTTAGAATTATCAATTATGTCCAATTTATTTGGAAACTGCGATACATTTTTCAGGATTCTTTGAGGAATAAAAAGTTAAAAAGAACAGCATTTATTCAAAATATAAATCTTTTCTAACAATACAAATCTTTACTATCACTTCTTAACAATTTAATACATCTTTGCTGAATAAAAGTTTTATTTCTTTCAAAAAAAAGAAAGAATAAAAATGTACTGACCCCAAACTTTTGAACTGTAGTGTATATTGTTAGAAAAGATTTCTATTTTAAATAAATACTCTTCTTTTTAACTTTTCATTCATCAAAGAATCCTGAAAAAAAGTATCACAGGTTCCCAAAAAAATATTAAGCAGCACAACAGTTTCCAGCACTGATAATAAATCAGCATGTTAGAATGATTTCTGAAGGATCATGTGACTCTGAAGACTGGAGTAATGATGCTAAAAATTCAGCTTTGCATCACAGGAATAAATTAGATTTTAATGTATATTAAAACAGAAAAACGTTATTTTACATCATAATAATATTTCACAATATAACATTTTTCCTGTATTTTTGATCAAATAAATGCAGCCTTGATGAGCAGAAGAAACTCCTGTAAAAAAAACATTCAAAATCGTTCTGATCCCAAACTTTTGACTGGTAGTGCATATATATACACAGTATATATATATATATATATATATATATATAGCATTAAAGTGATTATTTGTTGAATTGAATTTAATTGAATTGAATTTATAATCTTAAATTTTCTATAATATGCTGTTCTTTTGAACTTTCTATTCATCAAAGGGTCCTGAAAACATTTATTATGGTTTACACAAAAATATTAAGCAGCACAACTGTTTTCAACTTTGATAATACTAATAAATGCTTCTTGAGCAACAAATCAGCATATTAGAATCATTTCTGAAGGATCATGTGACACTGAAGACTGGAGGAATGATTCTGAAAATTCAGCTTTGCCATCACAGGAATAAATTGCTTTTTTATTGTAATAATATTTCACATTTTACAGTTTTTACTTTATTTTGATCAAATAAATGCAGCCTTGGTGAGCATAAGAGACTTCGAAATCTTACTTCTTAATCAAACTTTTGAATGGTAGTACATAAAATGTGACAATGTTGTGATAATGTACTCTACATTGTAAAGATGTTCTCTGCTGTAGACATGGAGCAGGACTGGCCTCAACTGCCCACATATAGCAAAGGATATCTGAAGAGAGAGAAGATGCTGAAAGAAAAGACCCTGGTGGATGTGAAAAAAAGAATTAAGCAGACAGAGAGAACGATCAAGCCTGCAGTGGAGAATGCTACGGCTGCGAGCAGCACAGCTAAACAAGCCCAGGATACTGCAGATGCAGTGGCTAAAGTAGGCTACTCTGTTATATTTGTCAGTCCTGTTTAGCTGAAGTTTGAATGATGCAAACGAGAAATACTTTTCTCCCAGTCATTGAATCGAAATATTTTTCAGTAACATTTTTTGTGGTTATAGATGTTGTGTATAACAGAACTTTGAAAGGCAATTTTGTCCAATCAAATCCTTAAACCCCAAGATGTGTATAAACACTGCATTGCCTCAAGGAGCCTGGACTGAAGCGGGAACTGAAAGCCCTGTTATGCTTTTATTCATGACAGGATGCCAAAGTGTCCCTCACGCAAGGGAAACGGACAAAACATGCATCTGGACAGTTGCGTTCAGTTGTTGACACCACCCTGGAGCAGTTGACTGAGCTGGAAAGCCAAGCTGCACAGAAACAGGAAACCATGGAGGCAGAGGAGGTAAACAATTTGGCATTAACTGGATAGTGGAATTGCCAATGTTTGGCCAGTTGGCTAGGACCTCAATGTCATTATTATTATTAGAACACAAGACTTCTGCAGGACATTCAGTACTGCCTTTCTGTTTAGGGGTTTCAGACACTGCAGTCAGGGGCGCTGCTAAGGGGGGGAAAGTTAGGACGATTCTAAGGGTCCACGCACTTTTGGGGCCCCCAGAGATCTGTTTTATTAGTAGTAACAGTAGTAGTAGTAATATAATAGAAATTTTAAATGTATCTACCAAAGAATTACAAATAAAACAAAATGATGGCTTATTTCTGCGTTTCCGGCAAAATTATCTCCCCCCATTCACTGCATGGTTTCGTCCCGTCCTACGTAACCTAGAGTCACTGAGTGAGATCAAATAGTAAACTGTCAAATTAGAGATGTCTTCGAGTTCGAGGGGGGGGGGCAAACCTAGCCGGACGATTTGGTCAGTCGCACTTTTAAACACATTTTAGTTTTGCTATAGAAAATCTACAAATTCACACTCTGATTACATAGAGCATAACCAGATACACTGCATGTAAATTACAGCTGCGCTTCTATTTTGACACACTAAACTTAGCAATAAACAATAATGATATTCTAGGGAATTGTGTGCTTCTAATTTTATACCAATAGTCTGAACAGGACCCTTTTCTATTCTAACACAAGAATGCATCTGTGTATAAGGCAAGGTTAAAGTATTAAACATGATACTTATCTGTAAAGTCCAGATTAGGTGACCGAGGAGGTTGTTTTTGCATAGCCATGATGCTGATTTGCTATTTCTCCTTAGGACATCCAGCTTTCTTCAAAGAATGTGATAGACAGCATGGAGACGGCCAAGAGTCAGCTGGAGTCCTTTACAAGCATGCTATCTCTGCTCCTTAAACAACTGGGTGAATTCATGATTTTAATCATTTTTTTGATTAGTTTAGTTGTTTATTGCTTTGCATTATTTTGTTTTCAGCATGCTTTATCTCTACAACCCTACATAGGACAAGCAGTTTGGAGAATGGATGTTTTGTTTTGTTTAGTGCTTTGCTTTGCTTATTTTTTTTTTTTCATTTTTTGGGGGGGACAAAAGTATTCCTTTCAACAATAATCTCAAAATCATACTCTTCTCCTGTTGATGCGAGCAGATGCTAATGAGGTGCTGGAGAACTATGATCGCATCCTGAATGAGACGGCAGCCCGTCTTCGTGTTCTCCGGGGTGCTGTGGAGGGTCCATCTCTCACTGGAAAGATTCAGAGGCTCCACAGTGCTGCGCAAGATCAAGAGAAACAGCTGCAAAATCTTGAACAGAGCCTGCAGGAGATACGAGAAGAAAGAGACAGTCTGACAGACATCACCCAGAACTTGCCTAAAACATGCCCACAAAAAGGGCACTGAGCCGGCGGGAGGAAGAAGTCTATCAGTTGTCTAGTCTTTTGGAGAGACATTGAGGTAGCTCAAAGGAGTTAGTCACCTCAGAGAATCTGAATCAAGGGAAGCTAAAAAAAAAAAAAGGGAACAAACCTCTGAAATCCCCCTCTCCCTCTCAATTTCTCTTTTAGCTGTATCTTGTTACAAAGCAATACTGAACATATAAATGACACATTCAAATGTAAATGCTTTATAAACATTCATTTGTTGTGAATACAGAGTGGCTTTACTTATTTACTCTATTGGTAAAGAGTCAAAATGCAGGTGATGGCATTTATATTTAAGTAGCACTTTGAATTGAAATCATCAGTATTCAAGCAAAATGTCAGTGTGACTGGACTTCCAGAGATGATCACATTTACATTATGCTTGAATATTGATGTTTTGCAGACTGACATTATGAAGTTTGCTTGCAATGTAATATGCAATTTTCCCACCATTAACCTTAACTAATGGGAGTTCCTGACAAGATATGGTCTCTTTTTGGCCACTTGGGGGTGCCATCTACTCAAATTAATCTGGTTGTTGTACACCAGAGCTGCCCAAACTCGGTCCTGGAGGGCCAGTGTCCTGCAGAGTATAGCTCCAACTTGCCTCAACACACCTGCCTTTAAGTTTCTAGTATGTCTAGTAAGAGCTTGATTAGCTGGTTCAGGTGTGTTTAATTGGGGTTGGAGCTAAACTCTTCAGGACACCGGCCCTCCAGGACCCAGTTTGTACAGCCCTGTTGTACACAATGTCCTGCACACGAGTTTGAATCTGAACATTTTTAAAAGTCAGTAAATCAAGACCAAATAAACATAGGCTACTGTGTGCCATGCTGTTTTCAAGAGTGTGATCATGCATTATGAGCATCAGCGTGAGCCTGTTGATATGCAATGTATTATTTATTTAACATGGCATATGAAATATTTATTTCTGTGCTTATTATCCATCTGTTCATAAATTATAGTCACAAAAGGAATTGGCTATGAATAGTTGAAATTTTCCATTATTTGGAATATGTTATCAACATGTCTGCATGGCCCATCGTTTGCTTGCTTTCAGTTTTGATGTATCGTGGCTTATTGTATTAGCTGCTTCCTGTGGAAACTGAGCTTTTGATCTGTTATCTGAGCCACTGACTGAGCTAGTACCCTTTAATGTTCTTAACCCCATTGAACCCAAGATTAGAGACACGTTGCTTAACTTTAATTTCAATAAAAAGGGAACCATTTGTCAAAAACGGACAACCAGATTAAACACTTCACACTATAACACACATCCATAATGCATCGCACACACAAAAAACTGCATTCATAACAATTGTCATATTTGTATAGATTATTAGTTATAGTCACAAAGCTATATGTTTAATGTTGACAGATCATTGACTCTATATAGCAGGGTTCCTCAAATCTTGCCCTGGAGGGACAATGCACTGCAGAGTTTAGCTCCAACCCTGATCAAACTCAGCTACCTGTGATTTTCTAATGATCCTGAAGACATTGATTAGCATGCTCAGGTGTGTTTGATTAGGGTTAGAGAAACTCTGCAGGAAAGTGGATCATGTGGGCTAGATTTGAGGATCCTTGCTATATAGGATAAAAAAAAAATTTTTGACACAAAATATAATAGGCTACTTAAAGCTGTTGAGAATCGCTATTAAAACAAATGCTGTAGAATCAAAGGCAAATCATTGGAAGCAACCATGTTAAAACCCACACACATCAAGTAAAACTTTATCAACTGCACAACAATAAAGCATGCTACGGTGACGCAGGAAATTAAATTCTTCTGACTTGCAGATCCAAAGTAGACATAAAAATAGATATAAGCTGAGATAACAATTAAATGTGATGAACGATAAGAAAAGAAACAAAAACTATAAATATGTATTCTAATAAGAGCAAAAAGGTTAAAAAAGTGGAATTTTCACAGCAGCACAAATCGGTATGCACTGTGAAATACAATATGAAATGTGCGAAACTAAATGAAGCATGCAGCAGTAATTACAGGAAGATAAGTTTGAAGTTAAAAATTAAACGATGAGAAAGATAAGATAGGAGTGAAAGTGAAAAAAAACAGCTGAGCAATACAATATATGTGCAAAACTGACTAAATAAAAAGTGCTATAACAGTTACTACGTAGTGGAGCTGAGCACGGCTGGAACGCTGAAGGCATTTTATAGGCGTATATATGGCTAATAAAATTACAAATAGCTTTATACGTTGTATATATGCATAATGAAAGGACATTGGCTGGCAGAACACCGGAGTTTCCCCGTTGTCGTTTGAGTCTGCATTACCTCTCTTCACCGCACGGTGGCGTTTATAGCTGTATTCCTGGCGAGCAGAGAGTGCATCACAGGGAGACCTGCGCGTGTAAACAGCGGGAGATTCCCTCTCTCCCACAGACCTTACCGACGCGAGCGAGCGCTGACACTACTCCACTGTCTCTCCGTTCTCTACCTACACCGCCCCAGCATGCCTTCCAACCTGGATTTACAAGGTATATCTTTTGTCGCCGGTCTGTTTTGAGTGAATCGATGCTTTATCTAGCGTTATACGCACGGAACCTGTTTTTGTTCTGTGCGCGCGTGTGTGTCGTTAGCGGCCGACTGTCCTTATCTCATGCCTGCAAGTGCACCAGACAGCCTGATGAAACATCCAGACGGGTGTGTAACGTGAAGGTCCCTATGTCTCATTTTTCAGGCGGGAAAGCCTTCGGGTTACTCAAAGCACATCAGAGGGAGAAGCTGGAGGAAATCAATAAGGTAAATAAGCTAACGCCGTCGGATTATTATTGTCTCAATTGGGAGGCGAGATTATTTCATTGGCCTTTGAACCGCCTCCATTCGCCCTTGTGGTGTTCCCAAACGCTTTGTCTCTAAATATTAGTTTGGTTTTTAATTTACTTCGCTTCTTCTCTGTGGTCTCTTAGCTGTTAAATGTTATTTTGGGCAGCAGCGGAATTGTTAAGCTCGACTTTACAGCAGCACGACCTAATTTAGTTAGACAGTTCGACCACATTAAGCCGCAGATCATTTCACACTCCAGTGCAGGGCTGTGTCTCAAAACCTGCTGAGCTGCCAAGGGTGGCAGGGTTGTCTCCTTTTATTAAAGCTGCACGAAACTGTAAAAATGATTAAAATCACTATTGCGGTAGGCATCTGACCAGGTCTCGAGACGCAGCCCAGTTCATCCCGCGCATGAGTCATTCACCGCCGCGTTAAGCGCTTACGGTTTCCCCCGAACGCTCTCCCCGTCACCCATTGGTCGGACAAACAGATAGCCCCGCCCAAAACTCCCGCCGTTGGCTGAGCCAGTGTTAGTGTGTTTCGCGGGACCAAGATTCTCAAACAATAATTTCGTTACCGCCACAGCATGCTTTCAGCATACTGGGTAGCCTACTATAAGCATATTAAACAAAGTATTAAAAAAATTACATGCTTAACATTTAAGTAAGCGAGGTGACCTCATCTTGGGCGTTTCAAACAAACCCAGACCTTTTACGAAAATCCCAAGAGGCTTATTTTCATGAGCAGTGTTATTTTAAAGCTAATATTTAAGATCAGCCCTCTTTGATGTGATAAGAGGCAGTGTGCCCCCCCACAGCCGGCTGTCTCTGTGCCCTCAGACGGGAAACAGGTGTCTGTGATCCGGCATGAATGGACCCATTATGTGGGAAGAAGATTGAGGAGTGGGCAGCAGTGGCATTTGAGCCGCTGTTCCCCCTCTCATGTGGACTTTTGCTGGCAGGAGGGACAGCTTGATGTGGTCACATGAACACTCAGGAAAAAATCACTCAGGTCATATACTGGCCTAGTAGTGTCATCTGCCGTGCTTACCTGCACATAGTGTAGAGGTGATTCTCAGGAAAAGGGTCAATAAAATGTTCAAGAGCATAATGCATTTCACATAACATGGCCAAATATATTCAGAGTCATGATTTTGAAGACAATTTTAGCTTAATTTTGACTCCTAGTTTCGAGTTCTGTGAAGGAATGTTGTGCAGTCGTGACTTGACTGAGGTAGAAGGCGGTACTCGGGCTCTTCATCTCTCAGCATGACTCAAGAGGGCTGATCCTCACAGTGTAGTTTTCATCTTCTAATTCTAAAACCGTGTCATGTCTTGACCACAGTTTGCTAATCTAGCTTATTTTTACTCCCCTCTCCAAGTATGTGTGGGTTAGAGAGAAAGAGGCAGAGACAAGACGTCATGATGAGTCATAATTAACAGTTCAAGGTTGCTTTATGCTTCTCAGGCACCTATAGATCCACACACACGGGATGTTTGCTTTTACAGCACATTCCTTCACTTAGTTAGCAGCATCTCCCACCAACCATATTTAAAATCCACTCACAAACACACCCACACACAGTGTGTGATTTCCCTGATACACACACACACACACACACACAGTGTGTGATTTCCCTGATACACACACACACTCTAATTCTTCACTGATAGTGAAGTCTCATATCACACATGTGGATCTTTGATTTATGGGCCTTAGGCAGAGTCTTGTCATAGATCATTAACAGAGATGTTAGAATTAACCGGCCTTTGTTGTGTTTGACATTTAATTATGCACTGCCCAGTTTTTCAATAACAGGAGGACTTTGGGAGTGCTTTTTGTTTTGTTATTGCTGGCTACACTAGCAAACATCCTGCATTCTCTGACTGACACTAAAGGTGCGGTCACATTAGCAAAATTTCGTCAATTTCTTGGGCAAAAAAGGTCTGTTGTCAATAGAGTGCACAGCTCACACATAAATCACTTTAAAATCAAGAAGATTTCTGTTGGTCAATTTGACAAATTCATGTTGCCAACTAGGGCTGCACTATTAATCAAATGCGATTATGCGCATTTTGTTAGTAAAGCCGGTTCTGTAATCAGCAGTAAATCATCATCACGTGCTTTCAGATGGAGCAGAATTTACTACACAGAGCCGTAGTTCACTGACAAGTTACGCAAAAAAAAAATCGCAGACGATATTATTGCGCAATTATGAAATCGTTCACGGTAATGACAGCTGTTTGCATAGCTTCTCAGTGAACTACGGCTCTGTGAAGTAAATGCTGCTCCATCTGAAAGCATGTGAAAATACCACATTTAATAACATATTTTTACTCCAAACTCACTTCATAACGTCAGTCGAGTGTTTGAAATAAATCCTTCAGTGAGATGATGTGGCTTCTTACACAGAATAAGGCACGCAACATATTTCATATTTAATATTTAAGCAGTGATAAAGGCATCGCATTATAAATATACTTAATTTTAATGAAAATTATAATAATAATAACTCTGATAAACCATATATTGTCATAATCGTGTGTTCATTAGTCACGTTGAATCAATAAAAGCAGTTAAATCTTCTGTTTATCCAGCTACCGCTATAGGCATTTCCTGGGTTTCTTCTGCGGGGTGTTTTGGGAGTTTCCACGCGAGAGCGCCTTCGGATGGAGATTTACTGCTGATCACAGAACCGTGCTTCACTGAAAGATACGCATGACAATCGCAGCTTCTGTCTAATCGCGATTTCGATTTATCATGCAGCCCTATTACCAACTTTAAAAAGTGCAAAATTTATGTGGGGAAATATTCCCAAACATATGGCTCTTTTTGTGCACGACAATATATAGTAGGGATGCACCGAATGTTCGGCAACCGAAATTATTTGTCTGAAAATAGCAAAAAAAAATCTCTTTCAGTGTTCTGCTGAATAATATGTACCGAACAATGACTAACGTGATCAAATAGAGGCACGCACTAATGCAGCAAACATGTCGGCAGTGTGAAAGTATTTAAAACTATCAGAGAAAGACGCAGAAATCATTACAAGCACGAAGCACCGACAGCGAGAGACTGTTTAGTGCTGCATCACGTCTCCGATGAGAAGAAGAGGTGGCTGATGCTGGTGGTTAGACTACTGTACAGGTGCGTTTTTCTTCCACACTTTTTCCTTCCGCTCAACTTTCTGTTAACATGCTTGGATACAGCACTCTGTGAACAGCCCGCTTCTTTGGCAATGAATGTTTGTGGGTTACCCTCCTTGTGAAGGGTGTCAATGATTGTCTTCTGGACAACTGTTAGATCAGCAGTCTTCCCCATGATTGTGTAGCCTAGTGAACCAAACTGAGAGACCATTTTGAAGGCTCAGGAAACCTTTGCAGGTGTTTTGAGTTGATTAGCTGATTGGCATGTCACCATATTCTAATTTGTTGAGATAGTGAATTGATGGGTTTTTGTTAAATGTGAGCCAAAATCATCACAATTAAAAGAACCAAAGACTTAAACTACTTCAGTCTGTGTGCATTGAATTTATTTAATACATGAGTTTCACAATTTGAGTTGAATTACTGAAATAAATAAACTTTTCCACGACATTCTAATTTATTGAGATGCACCTGTACATGGTGGAGAATTAGCAAAATATTTTGACACATGCTTGCTCGCCCTCTCTGGGCTTCTGGCATGCACAGCCGAACAGAGAGGATAATCATTCATCCACCCAGTCTGTTCCAGTTAGAAATCATGCTAACTCTCTGTTTCTCTCTCTTGTTTGCAGGAGTATATGGAAGATCAGAAGTACCGGGATGAAGAGGATTTGCCAGAGAAGTTGAATTCTTTTAAAAGTAAGAGTTGCAAACTAAAGGATAGTTGAAACATTTTAAACACTGACATAGTCCAGCGTTTATATGCACACATGTTTGTGTGTTTGTAGCATGAATGCTAAGAGAGCTTGTGTGGGTGTTTGTGCATGTGTGATGGACTTGCTTTCTCCATATGGTCTTGCAGGAATGTGCTGGTCTTGCCCCCTCGCTGTTGTGGTTTTGGACATGTGCTTCTTGTGGGAGAGGGAAATAACGGTTTGTGTGTGTGTGTGTGTGTGTGTGGGAAAGGACAACTGGAATGTAAACGAACAGTCCTCTGAGCCTTTTGGTCAAAGCTTAAGTGTGGTTTTGCTTTTCTCTCTGAAAACCTGCATGCGAACTTCAGCCACCTGAATCCGGAAGTCATCTTCCCTCTCTTTCTAATGTTAATGCTGCTCAAAAGATGACCCATGAAGTTTAAAGTCAATATTTACTCTAGATTCACACAGGGCGTCCGTCGGCGTCAACGCTTGACGGAGGGTGTGTCTGAAGCTTGGCTCTGACGCGATCGTCATAGTGACAACAGCCAATTACATTGGACCGCAATTGGCTAGTGCCTGAGCTAGTGTATTTGCATAAGGCGATATGATTGGCTGACACCTCCATTGGCGCTTGAAAAGTTGAGAAATTCACACGCCCCATGTGAATGTACTGTTACTTTTAACATAGTCTTGGTTTTACTGTGCACAATTGATTGGTGGCGTTTCAAGTTAAAAATGTTTTTCTTTGTAGTCTTTTTTTTTTTATCAGAATGTAATTACTTACTCTGCCTATGAAACTAGAGATGCTTCAAATATATATATATTTGATGTCAGTTAAAATCACTATATAATTTCTGTTTTTTACATTTAGGCAATCTTTGCCGTCATCTAATGCTCACTTAGTTTATCTTTAAAAACACTGTTAAATGCAATCTTAACAAATCTCAAAATTAATATCCATTTTTACTGTACAATATAATGTTATGCTTACATTCACTTGTAGCATTTAAAATAATTGATTTTAGGTTTGAGTGGGTTAATGTATTTAGACAAAATTGTCGTAAGTTTTATTATAAGCTATTTTATTGGTTATCGGCCATAACATCTGCTTATCTGTGTCAGCCAAAATTTTTAATAACAGTGTATCCTTATCTGAAACAACTTTCCTTTTTGGCTGACGAAAAGTAAGTTCCTCTTACTTTTCAACCCCTCCCCTCCATCCGCCCACTTTTCACAATCCAGTCTAGTCTGCTCTACTTTTTTCCTTCAGAAATATGTCAGATTGTTGCTGTTTTTTTTTTTAATGGATTGCAAGACATGTTTCATGTTAACTTTAGACCCAAGGGCCTCCTTTATCTCTGAATTATTTACTACCAGCCGTCCTCAGTGTGTACGCTTGGGTTTGTGGGTCATTATCAAGAGGCAGTGATCAGGTTATAGGGGTTAAGTGGCTCTGAATGTTTCAATGATTTCTTGTTAAACAGAGTAAGAAGATGGAAAGGACAGAAGTCAAAAGCACAAGGTACAGGAGGAGCACCAAACCTTTGAGATTTCTCTTGACATGGTTGAAAAGAAGGCGCATGCTCACACACACACATACAGTCGGCGCACTTGCCGGAGTGTTTGGCCTACTAATGTCATTATGTGTGTACACCGCTGCCCTAAAACCAGAAATGAAATGAGAGTTAGGAGAAAAAGAATAAGAGGGATCACCATCCAAAAAAAGATATTTAGAGAGAGTGATTCAGTCAGTGAAAATTGTGAGCTACATTTAGGCAGTGTCAGTGCATTTCAACGGATGACCTCTCTTGCCAGCTATGTTTCACACGCACACATTGAGCTCGGAGGTGAACAGGCTGCGTTTGTGTTCATAGGGGGCCATTGTAACCCTCTCCTTCCCATCAGCCTCCTCTCACGGTGACTCCGTTACACTCTCAATGTGTCCACTCTGACAGAAGCCTCATTGTGAGAATGAAACGACACCGATTGAGAGAGAGGAAGTAGTAGAATAATCCAGCAAAATCAAATAGGACAAGGATTCAAATCTGGTACTAGATGTCCTCATTTACGGATATAGCCAGCCATCCTTTGTGAAATAGGCTTCATTTTGGATTAAAAAAAAAACCCGCAGAGAAATGCTGGGTTTTTCAAACATCCTCTCTGTTGTTTCCCTCTGAACTGCAGCTGTCACATGCCTGACCTCTAGATCTAGTGCTGCCACTGTCAGATGTTGCTGGCGATTGTGTGTGTGTGTGCTATTAAAATATCTATTAAAATATCTTGTTTTTACAATCCACAGATAAATATGCTGAGTTTGACCTGAACGATCAGGGAGAGATCGGTAAGTGCGTGTGTATTTAAGACTTTGTGAGTGTTAGTGGGGAAGGGCTCTTTTGTCATGCTCACTGTGTAGGTGATACCACACTTGACAGATGGGAAACATGAGAACTCACCTGTAACCAACTTAAAGGTCACTATCATGTGCTGTAGAAAGAGTAGGAGTGACTCATGACAGGAGATGGAGATTTAAAAAATTGTAAATAAAAAGAAAAATTCAAAAAGAACACCTTATGAATTCAAATCTTTAAGCTTGTTGTTTGTTGCCCTAAAAGATTCAAGTTGCTGTGGGGGGAGCAAAAGTTGAGCAACAGTTTCAAATCTTAAGCAAGTTAAGTCAGTATTATTTATAGCACCTTACCTGAATAATAACACCTGAACTGTCTGGTCTCACTGTGCATGATTAATCACTGCAAGCATGCAAACATGCGTCAAAATGTATTACTTACTGTGCATTTAAAGCAACTTTGCAGATGGCATAAACACAGCACAGGAGGGGGTTAATAACATTAATAATATTACAGAAATAATAAAAATATTTTTCATATATTTTATTATGATTACCAACAATGCAGTCAAATCAATCACGATGACAAGCTGTGCTATTTTCCAATTCTATTTCATTCAGAAATGTATAACATGCCTTTTTATACAAATGGAAGGCTTGCCCACATAAGATGTTGGGGGAAAGTGGCATAGGCCCTTATCTTGATTGTTAATCCATCAGTGTGTGCCACAGAAATAAGGGCACTTTAGAGGGCGATTCATGGGATACGTGTAAAAATGTGTAGTTTGTGATAGCAAGTAAGTATGTTTTTTATGAGAGAGAGGCGTAATGTATAATGTGGGACACAAAAATTGAATACACAGTGAGGAGAAAATCATTCCACTAATGCAAATGTTGTGGAGAGATGAACACTGACAGCTCTGTGTAGCTCTACTCTATGGAAGTATGCTTGGTGTTGTATCAGCCCTGAGGACATGTATGTGGTGTTATCTTCAGAATGCATTTCTGTGAGCATTGTGATTGTGCCAAACTAGTCGGCTGTAAGTAAATCCTGTATAATTACGCTTATTTTTGGGTCATGTACACCAAATCAGACTCTCTTTTAGGGGACTCTCACACAAAAAGTAGGGGTCTTGACAAGTTATTTCAAGACTATTTTTAACTTGATACTTCACTTAAAACACAAACCAACAGCCAAAGACATCCGTCTGCGTTTGTACTATGCAGCCCTTCAACAAGGTTATTGCCAGATATTCAACAAATATACAGGCTAAATACTGTGATTGACTAGTTCATTGGTAAACAACTAGTCAGCCACCCACCTTTATTAGCGATCTACTTGTCAAGCTGTAAGAGTCTGTTTGTAGTAGTTCACTGTTGTTTGTTTGTGTGATGATGGCTGTATATGTGTGTGTTTCCTTTGCAGACATGATGGGCTTGAAGCGAATGATGGAGAAGTTGGGTGTGCCAAAGACTCATCTGGAGATGAAGAAAATGATCTCCGAGGTGACAGGAGGTTGCAGCGATACCATCAACTACAGGGACTTTGTGAAAATGATGCTTGGCAAGCGATCAGCTGTTCTCAAACTGTAAGTGTGTGTGTATATGCATGTTTCAGAATCAGAAAGAGCTTTATTGCCAAGTGTGTTTACACACACGCACACACACACACACAAGGAAGTCGTCTTGGTGTCAGGAGCTTCCAGTACAGAAAGTACAAACATAGTGCAGATATGCATATAATTTAAGGTAATAAAAACACTAATAATAAAGAGAATAGACAAAAAAATTCTAAATAACAATATAATAATAAAATATAGAGAAAAAGAAAATGTCAGTAGACATGTTTCTGTGATTCTTCATGCATGTTCTCTCTCCATCTTGTTTTAATATTGGCAAATGGCATTATGCGGAATTGTCAGGCTATTTCCTGCTGGCGAGTGCTTTGACACAGTCCAGCTATTTTTAGATGTGTTTAATCTTGTCAGCACATCCAGTGCAGGATTAGCATATCTGTGCCATTATCTCTCAGTGGGAGAGGGATCCGCTGTGACAGGTGATGTCATTACCATGGGGTTGGATCAACACCAGACATTTGGCTTTAGTACAGGACAAGCCTCTGGTATCTCTGTATCAATACTAAATCGATACCCAAGTCATTAAATAAACAGCCTTGAGTGACTGATAATATGAAACGGGGGCTGTCAATTGTTAATATTGCAATTATCAAATGAAATGGAAAAAAAATAGTGTGACAAAATAATATTTTGTTTAAAAACAAAAAGTCATGCTACCTAAAACAATTTATTTTATGACAGTATTTTTATTATTTTATTTCATTTATTTAACATGATCTCATTCTTTTGAATTTAAACAAAAAACGGTGGCTTTTCACTGTTGAATAAAGCTTTTAAAACTTTCAAAATAAACAAACTGTGTCACATTACGATTTTTAATGACACGATTTTGTACTTGAATATACAATGACATAACACACCACACATTTTCTTGGGTGGGGTAGGAGATACAGCTTTCCCCTAATTATGGCCGTCAATGACAAAAAGAAATTGTGGAGGATGTTCTATTTGGAACTGGTATCACTAAACACCTCCCTAGTCTCGATGGAAGTGATAAACAAAATCTTTAACTTCCTGTTTTCTTTTTGTGAAAAACATGGCTGTAGTTTGGAAAAGAAAATTGGGTTGTTTGTGACAAACACTAGTTTGTGCCAAGTTTCATGATTCATTGAAACTATCTTAAGCTATTTTTTCACAAGGCTTTTGAGTGGACTTGAGTTTGAGTTTGAAGTCTCTTACACACAAAGTGCTCAGGTTTGACATTACAGAACATAGTGGTTGAACAGTCATTGGAGGTGTCATACTTTATGTTGGATCACTCCATGAGTAAATACCTATAGCAGACTGAAATATAATTGTGGAAGCGAGAAAAGACAGTGGAAAATGCGTTGTTGTACAGTTAGGAAACACAATGGGAGTCTGTATGAAATGTTATGATTTTCTGCTCGCTAGATTTGATAGATGGCTTTTTTTCACCCATTTTAAAGTAGCCTACACCAGACAGAAGTTGGTTTGTCTGAACATTTTGAAAAGTAATTGCACAAATTGTGGTATAAATCCTGTGTGTAACTATCATTTGAGTTTCATGCTAAAGTTGTCTGGTGCTTTGCCTCAGTAAACAGAACGAGTCATAACCACTATTACTGAATGTCTGGTTCTTGGTTCTGATGCTGCAGATGGAGAATTGGTTCATTTCATGCTGTGCTGGATGTCTTTGATAACTGGTTGTGTCAGTAGAGACATACTGATTTATTATTAGTTTGTAGTGATGTGTATCTTCATCTGTCTATATTCTACACATTGTGAATGGGGGATTTGTGACTAGATGTTAAGGGCTTATGAGAGATTTATCAAGGTTTACCTGAAACAGAAAGTCACATGGTCTGAATTACAGTATGTGAGCGGAATGGAGCGGCAACAATTTCTCAGAAACACCGCGGTGCTTTCGTTCCATGACGAAGTATGTGGCTAAAATATTTCAGTATGTTTTGAAATACCACAAAGTTCTGTTCAGAACTTCTATTTAATGAAAAATAAATACACTATGCGAGAATAATAGTTTTAATGTGGTTTATTGGAACACTCCAATTAGCCCAAGTCTATATTAAATAACTGTTTAACTCGTTTGGCTGTGCAGCATCTCTCTACTATGGCGAAACTGAGTGTTGTAGTTACTTCAGAAACAGAAAGAATATGCTGTAATTTTTCCATTTTTAAGCTGATAAATCACAGAGAGTGTTGACCATTTTCTACACTCCTGATCTGTGTAGCAATGTAGCAGCACATTAGTTTAGAGCGGAGACTTACTACCTGTACAATAAACTGTTTAAAACGTGAATTCACCCAATCAATACTGAGCATCCCACATGCTGCTAACAAACATGCTTGAGATAAAACCTCCCGCAGTCGTCCATCGCCGTCATTATAGCCTTCACCTTCTTTCTGATTGGAGTGATCCATATATCTGTCACGCTAGCTAATGATATATGTGACCCTGGACCACAAAACCAGTCATAAGGGTCAATTTTTCGAAATTGACATTTATACATCATATGAAAGCTGAATAAATAAGCGTTCCATTGATGTATGGTTTGTTAGGATAGGACGATATTTGGGAGAGATACGACTATTTGAAAATCTGGAATCTGAGGGTGCAAAAAAATCAAAATATTGAGAAAATCGCCTTTAAAGTTGTCCAAATGAAGTTCTTAGCAATGCATATTACTAATCAGAAAATTAAGTTTTAATATATTTACAGTAGGAAATTTACAAAATATCTTCATGGAACATGATCTTTACTTAATATCCTAATGATTTTTGGCATAAAAGAAAAACCAATAATTTTGACCCATACAATGTTTTTTTGGCTATTGCTACAAATATACCCCAGCGACTTAAGACTTGTTTTGTGCTCCAGAGTCACATTTAATGCGTGAATTCTTGATCAAATGCAGTTATATTATGGGCTGTTAGCATTAATTGTGCTCGTGATGGAGCGGTAGTGGAGTGAAAACCACAACGCTCCGACTTTAAAAACATCCACTCCTCACTCCAGTCAGAAATCACGCCGCTGCACTCCGCTCACATACTATGGTCTGAATAGATCAATCAGCAGTTCTGCACTGTCACTGTTCTCTTTTCTTCTTTTTTTTATCTCGTAATTCCAAAATTTTGTCTGATCCAGCTTTTGTGGTTTCACAGGCTGGTCCAATCTTGCTTTCTTTTTTGCACTTTTACAGTGCACTTGTTCTCTCTACTAATCTACTTGGTGGGAAGCTGGGATTGCTTCTAGCCAGTGCTGGACACTGAGTGGTGTTTTTAAACTCCCTATGTTCTTAAATACCTATATTTGGACATAGAAGCCTTATCCTTTGAAGCATAGGACTAATGTGTATGTGCATAATAAAATATTGACATCTGATCATATTATATATAACATAATTATTTGATCTAAATTACAATTGATTTTAATAAATCCCCTTGTAGTGGTGGGGAGAATAAACTTATTCATAAAAATACTTGCAAAGCTAATATGGTTTAAATAGTTTACCATAAATGTTTCTAATATTTTAACGGTGTGGGTTTTTTCACGTTAAATCATGGTTCTAATTACTTTTAGGCAAGGCCAGTTTATGTATATAGCACATTTGTACACTGGTAATTCATGATGAATCAATTTTAGGTGGCAAGAGGAGTTCACTTTCTTTTTTAAATTCATTATAAAAAAAGTGTGCATATAATAAATATATATATATATATATATATCTACACCCCAGTTGTGGAATATTTTAGATTTGATGGTTGAAATGAAATGACCTTTTCACTAATGACTTAATGAATTTTCTCTCTTCTCTCGTACAGGGTTATGATGTTTGAAGACAAAGCTAACGGGACCAGCTGTAAACCCGATGGACCCCCACCCAAGCGTGACATCACCAGCCTACCATAGATGGCATCCCTGCATTCGCAAATCCTGCCCATTTAACATTAGGGGCTAGGTTTCTATAGCCTTACCTAGAATCTTTTTGCCAAGGTCCAGGGAAAATCTTAGTTCATAGACGGACAAAATTAAGAAAAAAAAGTGAAAGATGTCTATATATATATATATATTTGCTGTGAAGAAGTCGAAGCACAAAGTGGCTTTTTTATAAGTAAACAAATGTATATATTTATATGAAAAAGGTGTTTTTGAATAGTGTTTACAAGCACAAATCCTGTGGGTGAAGTACTAGTGAAGTTTAGTGTGTAACACTGCAAGTGTACTAAGAATAGCGTGTACGGGATGACAGAATTGTAGCTTGCAAGGCAGATTTTAAGAATTACGGTTGAGAATTACGATTTTTCGTCCTCCCCCATAATGTGTGATTTCATTTTTTCATTTTAAGATGTTCATGTTTGCCACAAGTTGTATTCGCTTGAAGCGTTCTTTAGCTTTTGCTAACACCGTGTCCTAAAGTGTGACATTGTAGATGTGCGCGAGGCTCTTTTAAGATTCATTTAGTGCTCCGCCATGAAAAAGCTTTTCATTTAGCTTGTTCTGCTTCTAAATGCAGGATTTCCTTTGTAACATTTCTGTACAGGAAGGGGCAGGGAGTGAGAAAGCTGGGATTTGAGTGAGGGAGAAGGCAAAAAGGGACTACCGTTCATTTCTCAAACTTTTTGCTCATTCTGTCAATCCCTTCTTCACTTTCCACAGTCTTCAGACTTTTTTTTTTAACCTGTTTGTATGCGTCCAAGTGACTGTAATCTGTAACATTGCTGTACCGTATAAGCACATTAACTGTTAAGTACACACATATCGTGCAGATATGCTTTCAATCACTTTTAGGTTATGCTTTTATAAATTCTCCTGCTTAAATTGGAAATTATGTTGTAGGTAAGATGTGTCGCTGATCGTTGCGTTTTAGATCCGCAGCAGGGTTTATTTTAGTCACTATGGCGGAATAGTTTGAAACCGCTCTTTGTAAGTGCCTCACTCAGTTTGATGTAGCAGAGGTTGAGTGAAGCATCTTTGAAACATACTTTGTGTGTGTGTGTGCATGGAATTTATATTCTGTTGAGTAACATTTTGAGGCATTCCAAGAAAGTCGTTGTGTGATGGAGTCCTTGGAAATGTTGTCACGTTTTAACCCAAGCAGACTTACATGTTGTGCAGCTCTGATGCAAATATTCCAGTAGTGCTTTGTCCTCTTTTATTTTATTTTCCAATGGCCTCAGCAAGTTTCCTTTCTATAAGATGTGCTTTAAGGAAAACAAAATTATCTCAAAAGTTTGTTTTTTAGATTAAAATGTCAGTAGAAGCTGGTGTGGCTTTCACTTCCATTTCAGACTTAATCTGCAAATAAAACAACTTGTATTTGTTTCTGTCACGTCATGTTTTGTGGGTTTTATTTCTGTGCCTCTGTTCAAGTTCATCTCATTGACATGCTTTTATTTTCTTTTTAATATCAGTGAAGTGTGAATTGAGGTCTGCACTGTGTTGCTATTAGAAATGCATTTCAATGAGTTATTAGAATTATTAATAGTTTTCTGTCAGCATATTAATAAACAGAAGAATTTGTAAAAAAAAAAAAAAAAGTCTTTTTTTTTTTTTTTTTTGCAAACACCAAAGGAAGTAAATACCCTACTGTTTTCTTTGTTTGTGTGTGTGTGTGTGTGAGTATGTGTGCGCTTGGATATAATTGTCCCCCAGGAATGTGTGATAAAACCTCAGTTTGGGGACATTCAGGTATGTCCTAATTTGTGAAAAGCCTTTAAAGTGGGTTTACTCTTACATTCTTTCATAATACTAAAAATGTGAGTTTTCATTTGAGGTTAGAGTTGGAGTGTGTTAGGAAGTGTGGGGTCAGTGAGATTTATTTATTTTAAAGAAATAACTTTTATTCAGCAAGGACACATTAATCAAAAGTGACAGTAAAGACATTTATGATGTTACACGATTTTTATTTCAATAAATACTGTAATTTTTAACTTTATATTTATCACAGAATCATGAAAAGAGTATATGATGGTTTTCACAAAAATATTAAGCAGCACATCTGTTTTCAACATTGATAAGAAATGGTTCTTGAGCACCAAATCAGCATATTAGAATGATTTCTGAAGGATAATGTGACACTGAAGACTGGAATAATGATGCTGACAATTCAGCTTTGCGTAACAGGAACAAATTGCATTTTAAAATATATTCAAATAGAAAACATTTTAAATTGTAATATTTTACTATATTACTGTACAAATACATAAAAAATATACATCTTACTAACCCCAAACTTTTTAATGGTAGTGTAGTCTATTAATAATTAAAAACCTTTAGAAGTCTTTTGTCACCATTTAGTTAAGTAAACTTAAGATAAGAAAATGTGTGTTTACGTGGATTTCCAATGTAAAACATCAGTAATAATTTAGTCCAGCAAATTATTCTGTAACACAATATGGTTTCAGCTGGTTCTTGGGTATGTAAGGAGCTTTCTTGCTGTGTAGTCTATAATGTTCAAGCAGTCATAATGGAAACCACATAGGTGTATGAAGTGACGGAAGTCATTATAACCCACATTTACACATAAATAACTCGTGGTCTTAATCTGTAGTTTAGCTTGTGAAACTAGCATGTGTGAAGGTCAACCATTTGTTAAAATTGTAGGTATGATAATGGTCACAAGAAGATATTACATCTCTAGGGTTTGTTTGTGCCACCCTGTTTTATGCTGTGTGTAGGAATGAAAACCTCTTCAATTATAGAACCAAAATGAAGGAACTCAAACATATATTCATCTTTTTGCTCACAAAACAAGGTTTTGTAAACCACTTCACTTAACTCTCTTTGTTAACATTTCTGAAAAACAGAAGTTATTTTGGGGCTTTTCCAGAATAATGATAGTAAAGAGGACCTTTTCATAAGAGTAAACTCAGTGGTCCAGTTCACTTCCTCATTAGACTTCTGCATTACAGATAGAAGTGGCCTTGTTTTCACCCACAACTCAGTTCTTTATACAGCTTATCTATATATGTGAAACAATGTTTAAAAAGGTAATTGTTACCTCCTCCTCCACACAGTTAAACAGCAGGTCTACGTGTCGCTCTGTCTCTGTCGACTGTGTCTGTCTCTCTTCCCCATTCTGCCTAAGAGACATGTATTGACACTAAAAGGAACTTTACCAAACATCTTTTGTAACGCTGACCTTTGTAATCTGCTTTTGTGTCAGAAATAACAAATAGAGCTAGCATAGACGGATTAAAAATGACCAGCAATTTTATATGCAATGATTAGTACTGTATTCGTGCTGCTATACATTTACATTTACATTTAGTCATTTAGCAGACGCTTTTATCCAAAGCGACTTACAAATGAGGACGATGGAAGCAATCAAAATCAACAAAAGAGCAATAATATACAAGTACTATAACAAGTCTCAGTTTAATTAATGCAGTACACGTAGCCAGGTTTTTTTATACAATATAATAAATAGAAAGAAAATAGACAGAATAGAAAAAGAATAGAGCAAGCTAGTGTTAGAGATCTTTTTTGCTTTTGTTAATTGTATAATAAATGAAAAGAAAACAAGCAGCAAATGAATAGAGTGCAAGTCTAAAAGGGACAAGTGTGTTTTTTTTTTAAAGAATAGAATTAGTAGAATAGAGAGTGCTAGAGTTAGAGGGTCAAATAAAGATGGAAGAGATGTGTTTTTAGAGTTGGACAGGTCATTCCACCTGGAGGGAACTTAAAAATCTGCAAAAGTGATTTTGTGCTTCTTTGGGATGGCACAATAAAGCGATGTTCACTTGCAGAAGGCACGCTTCTAGAGAGCACATAAGTCTGAAGTAATGAATTTAGGTAAAGGGGTGCAGAGCCAGTGGTGGTTTTGTAGGCAAACATTAATACCTTGAATTTTATGCAAGCATCTATTAGTAGCCAGTGCAAATTGATAAACAGAGGTGTGACGTGCATTATTTTTGGTTCATTAAAAATTAATCTTGCTGCAGGTTTCTGGATTAATTGTAAAGGTTTCATAGAACTGACTGGAAGACCTGCCAAGAGAGCATTGCAATAGTCCAGCCTGGACAGAACAAGAGCTTGAACAAGGAGTTGTGAAGCATGTTCCGAAAGAAAGGGCCTGATCTTCTTGATGTTGAATAAAGCAAATCTGCAGGACCGGACAGTTTTAGCAATGTGGTCTGAGAAAGTCAGCTGATCATCAATCATAACTCCAAGGTTTCTGGCTGTTTTTGAAGGAGTTATGGTTGATGTGCCTAACTGGAAGGTGAAATTGTGATGAAATGATGGGTTTGCTGGAACCACAATCAGTTCTGTCTTGGCAAGGATGAGCTGAAGGTAATGGTCCTTCATCCAGCAAGCCCTGAGGCACCCCAGTAGTTAGATGTTGTGACTTGGACACCTCACCTCTCCAAGATACTTTGAAGGACCTATCTGATAGGTAAGACTCAAACCACTGGAGTGCGGTTCCTGAGATGCCCTTTGCCAATAGGGTTGACAGGAGGATCTGGTTGTTAACCGTGTCAAAAGTAGCGGACAGATCCAGCAAGATAAGGATTGAAGATTTGAAATCCGCTCTTGCCAGTCTTAGGGCTTCAACAACTGAGAGCAAGGCAGTCTCGGTTGAATGTCCACTTCTGAAACCTGAAACTGAGGATTTTTGGATTTACGCCACACCCTTTCAGCAGCCCTGAGCTTAGAACGATGTTCACCGAAAGAACAGCAGATAACCAAGGGGCAGAAGGGGTTGTACGGGCTGGTCTGGAAGACAAGGGGCAGACAGTGTCTAAACAAGATGTAAGAGTGGAGCAGAAAGTATCAGTAGCACTGTTAGCATCAAAAGATGCTAACAGTTTAGGGGAAGGAAGCAAAGATGAAACCATAGCAGATAGCTGGGAGGGTGAGAGTGAGCGTAGGTTACGTTGAAAGATGACATGTGGAGGGGTATGTGTTGTGTCAGAAACCATGTTGAGGTTAAGAGTGAGTGATCCGAGGTGTGCAGTGGAGTAACCAGTACATGATCAGTGGAGCAGTATCGTGTGTAAGTAAGGTCCAGTTGGTTGCCTGATTTGTGAGTAGCAGTAGTTGACACTCAGTTGAGATCAAAAGAGGCAAGCAGAGTGTGGAAGTCTGCAGCCTGAGGTTTATCTAGGTGGATGTTGAAGTCTCCAAACATAACTAGGGGAGTACCATCCTCAGGAAAGGTTGAGAGCAGCACATCTAATTCATCCAAGAAGTTACCTAGTGGTCCTGGGGGTCGATAAACAACTACAAAATGGATTTTAAGAGGGTAGGTAATAGGAACTGAATGAGATTCAAAGGAGCTGTTGGTACCCAAAGATGGTAAAGGATTAAGTTTCCAATAATTAGAGATAAGCAGTCCAGTACCTCCACCTCTTCCAGTCAAAAGGGGGGAGTGGGAAAATGAGAAATTATTGGAGAGTGCTGCAGGTGTAGCAGTGTCCTCTGGTTTGATCCAGGTCTCTGTCAGGGCCATGAGATTTAGCTTTGCATGACTAATAATAGAAGTAATGAAATCGGCTTTGTTTACAGCAGACTGGCAATTCCAGAGACCAATATAAAAAGAAAGTAGTGTATTAGCAGACATAGGCAATGTGTAAAGGTTGTTAGGATTGCGCTGCCTATAGTGTGTGAAACGTGGTTTGCGAGCAGTAGTGATAGTAGGGATCTGGAAACACACAGTAAGAATTGGTTATAAAAACTGAAACAGAAGTGAAACAAGTAGCAGGAAAAAGAATGAATCAAAAGCGATACTTATATCTCTTGCCGGTGTCCCTGCCCGGTGGAGTCGATGGTCTTTACACTCTTCGGTCTTCACATGAGGAGGCCTTACCAGGAGGGCTGCGTGACCCTTTATACTCCTACTTAGTTGCTAAGGTGTGTGCTGTCTGAGTGTCGCCATGATGGACTGTGTCTCCCCCTACTGGGGTGAAAAGAAAAAGTTCTAATGTTTCTTCGTAATATGATTTTAACAGGTAGACTACCATATAAAACATGAGGGTAGAGTTTGCACTTGCCTCACCTGTGGCAGTTGCTGATTGGAGGATGGTCTCTCTGTAGGCCACCTGCAAGGGTCCTAGGTGAGTTTCAATGTTGTGGTCTCTCTTAATACGGTCATGGATGATCTCAATGTGTAGCTCTCCCATGCCACACAGTATCGTCTGTGCATAAACAAGTGAAAAAATACATTGCAGAGCAGGAGAATGAGAAAGAGAGATTACAATTAACATTTTTTCCCCGTTATTGCTTAATCTAGTTTCTGCTAGGGCATTGCTAGGTTACTAGGGTGTTTTGGGCAATCGCTTACTCCCAAAAAAACGCTCCCAAATCTATGATATTCTGGTTATTATATATATTATGACTTAGGTGCTTCCTTCTCCTCAACACAAGATTCAAGGTATTTGATGTCCGTAGCACAAATGGTGCAGGATGGGTTATGTGTCACAATGTAATACATTAAGACACTTTTTCAAAGCACTAAGCTTAAAGGGTTAGTTCACCCAAAAATGAAAATTAATTAAAAAAACATTTACTCACCCCCGAGGCATCCTAGGTGTATATGACTTTCTTCTTTCAGACGAATCCAGTCAGAGTTATATTAAAAATTGTCTTTGATCTTTCAAGCTCTATCATTGCAGTCAGCGGGTGTCGCATTGCTTCAGTCCAAAAGAAGTTAAATAAAAAGCACCCATCCATAAAAAAAAAGTGTCTCACACGACTCCGGGGGGTGAACAAAGGCCTCCTGTAGTGAATCGATGCGTTTTTGTAAGAAAAATATCCATATTCAAAACATAATAATCACTTGAATTTAGCTTGTGCTCACTGTTGTAAATGGAAGCAGTTCCGGGCGGATGACGTATGAAGTCAGCTTTGCGCATGCCAGATTTTCCCCAGTAAGAACCTACGTTCCGTTCCTGTTTATGTTGTACACTGCCGACTGAGCCTTCATGCTTCCTGAATAGATCCTAACAAACATGAGTGGACCCCTCTGTTTGTCATGGACCAATTTGAATGCCAACGCACACAGATCATCCTTATACCAGCGCCTGGACAGATAGGAACAAATATACATTTAATCATAGCATGATTTATTCTCCTTTAGCAAAATGAGTTGATGAGGGGGCTGATGGATGGTGCACTCACACCAGGTCATGGTTTCTCTCATTGGGGGCAGGAAGGTAAGCAGTAATGGCATCCAGCAGAAGTTGAACCCCTTTTATTTTTCAGAGAGCTTCCAAACAACACAGGAACTCCCTTACGAGCTAATGTCACTCATCTCACTGCCTCCCTCAACTGGATATTCAGATTCAATTCTGTTTATTCAATAGCCAAATGTATCTGAACCAATAGAGAAAGAAACCTGGAGCACAGTATAGAGAAGCTGCATATTCTTACCTCCCCTGCAGGCACTGCATCAAAGTTTTCACTGTACCGTCCCAGAAGCAGCTTCGCAAAATCATCATTTAGATCTGCTACCTGTCCAATTCATACAAAAAAGTTCAGCCAAAAATGTTAATTCTGCCATCACGAACCACAAGTCATTCTAAACCTGTAACACAATAGAAGATGCCTTAGCTTTTTTTTTCTCCATACAATTAAAGCCAGTGGGGTCCATTGTTGTTTGGACACATTTTTCAGAATATCTTTTGTGTTCCACAGAGAAAGTAAATCATACATAAAAGAGAGCAAATGATGACAGAATCATAATTTTTGACGTATACCTTTAAGAACCTACTGTACTCGAGATGTGGCAAATAACAATAAATGTATCAGTATTTATTCTATTGTTTTCAGATATTTTTTTTTCACCTGTTCTATCAAAGTGGCCTGGCCTCACTGTCAGCCTGGAGCACATCTGGGTCATCTGTGGGCTGAAGGGTGCTGGTCTCAAAAGTACAACCATCATATGTAATTGAGCTCCCCTGCTACTTCATTTTCTGCCTAGTGATCAAGTCCGCCAATCCGGTAAAGCTCTTCCCTGTGCCAATAGGGGTTCTGGAAATCATACTAAATATTCAGAATGAATCTTTTCATTGGTAACTGTAGTTGGTTACTATGTTTAAAAAGGTCATCTGAAGGAGAACAGGGTTGGCCTTTAGTTTAGTCTTTATGCTGTGTATAGAGTAACTCAGGCTAGGAGAAATGAGAGTGAGATGAAACCTTAGTGAGCGGCAGTCATTCATTCAGATCAATAACACATGCAAATTTGTGTTAATGGATTCTCTAAATTTAAGTGAGATTCTGAGAAATGAGCAAAAAAAATTTGTGTATAACCTAGCTGCACACACATGGGATTTTATGTTTTTCTGCCTGCCGCCACACAGTCATGGTTTGAGCCTGAAATTCATGTCAAAAACACCTTATTATAAACAATTTTATATATATATATATATAAATAAATAAACAGAAAAGATTTTGGCTTTACAATTAATTGTATTATTAATTCAAATACAATAATAATTAATATACATGAATATAATTAATAATTTACTTATGATTTATTATGTTCACAAATAATTTCTGCCAAACCTCTACTCCAGCAGAAGCATCAAACACAGCAACCGCTCCATCCAACACTCGTAAAGCTCTCTCAAACTCCAGAGTAAAATCAACATTTATATATATATATATTTGTCTTTATTATTTTATTCTATTGGTGAGCATACAAAACTTCTTTTAAAAATCATTTTAAAAATATATATTGTACCCATCCCAAATTTGTGCAGTGTGTGTCCCTTACCCTGTATTGAATACAACACTGTTTGGACACATACGTACCTGGTGTGTATATGAGGTTAATCCTACACATATATACACACACACACACATATATACACACACATATATACACACACACACAGTAACAAATCCCTCTACTTTCTCAGCCAATCAGTGGGGCTCCATTTGTCATATGACAAGTTCCGTTTTTTCTTTTTTTTTTTAGATTTTTAAGATTTAAAAAACCCCGCTTTTGACAACTACCACTTAACCGTGTTTAACATGCTGTGCACACACATATATACACACACACACAGTAACAAATCCCTCTACTTTCTCAGCCAATCAGTGGGGCTCCATTTGTCATATGACAAGTTCCGTTTTTTCTTTTTTTTTTTTAGATTTTTAAGATTTAAAAAACCCCGCTTTTGACAACTACCACTTAACCGTGTTTAACATGCTGTCAGTGGGAAAAGAAAACGATACGAGTTTGCTTTAGATGTCTTTTCGACCCAAGCTTTACGATTAATTAAATGTCTAGTCTGATCTTAACGTGACTTTGATCAAGCACAGCAGTCATGTGGCGTACTGTACAGCTGAAGCTTTAACTCTTTAATCAAACGTTCTGCCTCAAAAATGCATTTCAATGTAACGTTCCCCATCCTAGGAGGGGTAGTTAAGTTTGTGCTGTTGACTGCGTCTTAAACGCATCAGATGTACAGGCATTTGTCATTGACTGTAATTTACCGTGATAACAATACTTTCCATCAAAATGCCATGGTTACTATAGTAAAGCCTTGTTTAAAGCCACCACTTTTTTGAGATTCTGAAACTATTTTAAAGACGTCTCATACACTTGTATTAGTGTTTTACAGCATTCGCTTCTTAAGCGGGGTTAAGTTAGTTTTGTTTTTGATATTCCTGACACATTCAGCGATAAACGGCAATAACTCCAAAACGACTTGCCCTAAAAAATCTAAACAGCATTACCAACTAAAGGGCTGAGCTGATAATATTTCACAACCTTCTTTTTAATTATTTTCGCTCGATATAATAAGCAGTGCCACGCAGTTGCCGTCGCAATGTGCAATAAGCCGGGGAGCTCGCTCTCTGCGGAGCTTTCGACAAGGGACCGTGGTGAAAGTGCAGTTTTTCTTCGTTATTTCCTATAGCTCAGCGTAATAGTGTTTTTGTAATAGCTTTTTTGTTAAATGGCCTATAGACCAGTGTCAATCAATAGAGGGGGACAGTGGACATTTTTCACAACCTTCCATTTTACCCCAAGTGGATGATTAGGGAATTGCATGTCAAAAATTAACCTTCTTTTTGTAATAACTTTCTTCAGCAGGAAGTTAGAGACATGATACCAGTGTCAATCAATAGAGGGGGACAGTAGACATTTTTCACAACCTTCAATTTTACCCCTACTGGCAGAAAAGGGAATTGCATGTCCAAAATTAACCTTCTTTTTGTAATAACTTTCTTCAGCAGGAAGATAGAGACATGAGACCAGTGTCATTGAATAGAAATGGACAGTGGATATTTTTCACAACCTTCCATTTTACCCCTACTGGCAGAAAAGGGAATTGCATGTCCAAAATTAACCTTCTTTTTGTAATAACTTTTTACATCAGAGACACAGAGACATGAGACCAGAGTCTTTGAATAGAAATAGACAGTGGATATTTTTCACAACCTTCCATTTTACCCCTACTGGCAGAAAAGCGAATTGCATGTCCAAAATTAACCTTCTTTTTGTAATAACTTTTTACATCAGAGACACAGAGACATGAGCCCAGAGTCTTTGAATAGAGGGGGACAGTGGACATTTTTCACAACCTTCCATTTTACCCCTACTGGCAGAAAAGGGAATTGCATGTCCAAAATTAACATTCTTTTTCTAATAACTTTTTACATCAGGGACACAGAGACATGAGACCAGTGTCAATCAATAGAGGGGGACAGTGGACATCTTTCACAACCTTCCATTTTACCCCAAGTGGAGGATTAGGATATTGCATGTTCAAAATTAACTTTCTTTTTGTAATAACTTTTTACATCAGGGAGACAAAGACATTAAACCAGTGCCAATCAATAGAGAGCGACAGTGGACATCTTTCACAACCTTCTTTTTTACCCCTACTGGTATAAAAGGGAATTGCATGTCCAAAATTAACATTATTTTTGTAATAACTTTCTTCAGCAGGAAGATAGAGACATGAGACCAGTGTCAATCAATAGAGTTGGACAGTGGACATCTTTCACATTCTTACATTTTACCCCAAGTGGGTGATTAGGGCATTACATGTCCAAAATTAACCTTCTTTTTGTAATAACTTTCTTCAGCAGGAAGATAGAGACATGTTACCAGTGTCAATCAATAGAGGGGGACAGTGGACATTTTTCACAACCTTCCATTTTACCCCTACTGGTAGAAAAGGGAATTGCATGTCCAAAATTAACCTTCTTTTTGTAATAACTTTCTTCAGCAGGAAGATAGAGACATGAGACCAGTGTCAATCAATAGAGGGGGACAGTGGACATCTTTCACATTCTTACATTTTACCCCAAGTGGGTGATTAGGGCATTACATGTCCAAAATTAACCTTCTTTTTGTAATAACTTTCTTCAGCAGGAAGATAGAGACATGAGACCAGTGTCAATCAATAGAGGGGGACAGTGGACATTTTTCACAACCTTCCATTTTACCCCAAGTGGAGGATTAGGATATTGCATGTTCAAAAATTAACCTTCTTTTTGTAATAACTTTTTACATCAGGGAGACAAAGACATGAAACCAGTGTCAATCAATAGAGAGCAACAGTGGACATCTTTCACAACCTTCCATTTTACCCCTACTGGTATAAAAGGGAATTGAATGTCCAAAATATCATTATTTTTGTAATAACTTTTTACATCAGGGAGACAGAGGCATGAGACCTGTGTCAATCAATAGAGGGGGACAGTGGACATCTTTCACAACCTTCCATTTTACCCCTACTGGTATAAAAGGGAATTGAATGTCCAAAATATCATTATTTTAGTAATAACTTTTTACATCAGGGAGACAGAGGCATGAGACCTGTGTCAATCAATAGAGAGCGACAGTGGACATTTTTCACAACCTTCCAAAATTAAGATTCTTTTTGTAATAACTTTTTACATCAGTGAGACAGAGTCATGAAACCAGTGTCAATCAATAAAGGGGGATAGTGGACATTTTTCACAACCATTGTTCTACTCTAGTGACTGATTAGAGAATTGCATGTTCACAATTAGGGCCCAATCCACTAGAGCCGCAGGGCCCTATTGATGTTCTAACGATTATTATTATGTTTATTTTTATTTGCCAAGGTTTTTATTTGCCAAGTCTTTTGGGGCCCTTAACAAAAATTTTGACCATTCCAAATCATTTGAACTTTGTGTCTGTACATCATGAATAGAACGAGGCAGCAGTTTACTGTAAGGGATTTGTCATGTCGCGTAGCGCTGCATCCAGTGTAGAAAGCATAACTGATTTAAATAGGTTATATTTTATTTTGTCATACTGCACCGGTTGCATACAGTGTACAAACTGTGTAAAACACTTAACAAGCTTAAAATTGCATGAAATTTGACACACACACATCAGTATTAATGATAGTTTGACACAGGCAGAAGCTCATAAATGGGCATGGAACAGGTGCTCTATAGCGCCACCTTTTGACAAAAGTGGATGGGTTACTTTTTCCTAAAGTCACCAAACTTGGTACATATATTATTCTCATTGCACCGGACAACTTTCTCATTTACAGTCATTAGCTACAACCAACAGAAAGTTGGCTATTTTGCTTTGAATATGGATAAAAAAACTTTTAAAAAACTGTGAATTAATGCATACTCCTCCTTTGTCAACATGATGCCAAGATATTAAAGATTCTAAACTGCTAACAGATTTTGGATATCTTGAACGATATTAAATGGTGATTTATTGAAGTAACATTTAAAAAGATAACAGTAATATTCTAATATCTTTAAAGTGCATTATTCAAACTCTCCACCAATAGTTCACAAACATAAATATGAAAAACAAGTACAGTATATATATATATGTATATATATATATATACAGTGCACAGCATAAATGATTACACTCTCTCTTTGATTAAACATAAAAGGTTGATGTTCTAATATAATTCATAGAACGATGGCAAAATTAATATGTATTAAAAATTTATAATAATATTATAATAATATTCTTAATAATAACAGATAAATATATGCCATTGATACCTGTAAATTAGTACACCCTACATTTTATTCAACAGTGTAATATTCTACTACTTAATATGTCCTCCATATTTTTTTTAAGTACACTGCTCTGACCCATCTTGGCACTGAGTGTACAACTTCATGACAAATTGTCACATCTGTCCTGTTTAACTCCTGGAGGATGAGCTCCTTAAATGCTCCTTAAATGCTCCTTAAATACTTAATGGAGAAGAGGAGAGAAGTATATATATATATATATATACAGTGCACAGCATAAATGATTACACTCTCTCTTTGATTAAATATAAAAGGTTGATGTTCTAATATAATTCATAGAACGATGGCAAAATTAATATGTATTAAAAATTTATAATAATATTATAATAATATTCTTAATAATAACAGATAAATATATGCCATTGATACCTGTAAATTAGTACACCCTACATTTTATTCAACAGTGTAATATTCTACTACTTAATATGTCCTCCATATTTTTTTTTAAGTACACTGCTCTGACCCATCTTGGCACTGAGTGTACAACTTCATGACAAATTGTCACATCTGTCCTGTGTAACTCCTGGAGGATGAGCTCCTTAAATGCTCCTTAAATACTTAATGGAGAAGAGGAGAGAAGTA